GCAAACGCCAATGAGGCGAAACAACCTCTAAGCTAAAACTACAATTCATTTAGGACACGTGCTACCGTTCACATACACAAGCCCTCACACCTAACGAGGCCATGCCCGCAAACACGGGACTGACTACGTCACTGTTAGGACCATACTACATGAGCAAAAACGTTAGATTGGTTGCTTAAACTTTTGATAACTCTACTCCCTTTGTATTATTGTACGCGCCTGATGATGAATTAATCGAAAACGTTCGTTAGCCTATCTTGACTTCTTGAAGGACGTTAGAGTTCAAAGGCATCGTAAGTCATGCTTGAAATCTAACGTGATACGCTGCTTACTCAATTCCTGTAAGTAGTTCCTTACTCTACAAGAACATTCAGTTCGCCACAGCCGCGCAGAAACTAAGAGCTCGTGCATGAACACGATCAGGCCGAACTGCATACTACCTGAAGGACTGCTCACTTCTTCTGAAGCATGAACAAAGAAATCGCAAGACACTAAAGAGGTCATCACTTGCCAAACCGACAGCACAGCGATTTCTCAAATGCGGATCAAAGAGTGAGGGAGCTTGACCACCCTCTTGGTATTGCAAAACAGCTTGTATTTATCCATAATGTGTTTGATAAAGCGTCATTTCAGGTATGAACTGTGTTGGAGCCAGGAAACCGAAGTATCATTTCACTCTGTCCCTTTGACCTCGTCTACTATGCTTTCAAGTAGACAAACAACTTCCGGAAGTAGAAAAAACTTTCTGTTTCCTTCTTCTTCTGAGAAAGAGGACAAAGAGCATCGTATGAGGTTGCAGGAGAGAAAAAAAGAAGTTGCAGGAAGTGGGCGGGGCGGGGGAGGGGAGGGAAGTAACCGCATATACACACGCCAAAGACGAGAGGCAGAGGGAAAGTTCTTGACTCAAGAATTTTCCTCGCCCGCCGCGAGGATATAGACGAGTTCACCGCCGCCGCCACCACCACCGGCGCAACCTACATTCATGCGATCGGCACTCATGCCCCTGGAAGATCCGTAGGGGCCACCATCAGAGCGTCGTGAAGAGGCTTGTGTAGACTGGGAAAGCCACGTGTAGAGGGTCTGCATGGACTGAGTCAGACTGCCCAGGAGAGCAGTTAGACAGACGTCATTGGCCTGGCACAAGAACCTGTCCGTCGAGCTCCCAGCACTCGCCAACTGGTTCGGTGACAGTGCGGCTGGCTGGTGTTGTTGTAGGCTGCTGAGGACTAGAGGCAGGCGCCGAAGGAGGGCGGAGATTTCACGGAGTCGGGGCCAGTTTGGTGGCAACTCGCCTTTGATCACGCTTGCCACGTAGGCTTTGAGGAGTTGCAGCCGACGAGAAAGCATCTGCACGGCCTGAACGTTACTCATTAAATACTCGGCAGTCTGGAAGGAAGGGAAAAGAGCTAGGCCTCAGAGTTTCAGCAAAATGAGCGAGTGACGAAGTTAGCCTTTGCTGCGAAAGAGAGAGAAAGAGAGAGAGAGAGAGACTAGAATGCCCATTTCTGACTTATTAAGAGCCATCAGCCAGCCATACCCAGCTTCAGTTTTTGCA